CCCAGAGAATACATTTCCAAGCTCCTGAATATTTAATGTTATTTGTCTATAAACTAATGTTAATATTTAATAAATAATATTCATTATATTCAGTATAATATTATTCCTTGTATTTCATTCAGCCATTTAAATTTATAATTGATATGATAGTGTCTTAATCTTAATATTGAAGTTAGCTGGATAAATGTCAGTTGTATATAACATCGTAGGGTCTTAACATTATTGTTTGAATTATTCAGGTACATTTTTAATATATATGATATTGTAGAGTCTGTTCTATTTTGCAGTATTTACTTATTGGTTTTTCTTTATGTCAGCGATATTTCTGTGTTTATGTCAGCAAAACATGAATGAAGTCTTTTAAAAAGGAACATTTTTTATGATCTAATTGTTGCCAAACCAACGGACTTCAAAGCAGTTTCTTTCATCTCATGTCATCTCTCACATTTCATGACAGAAACAGCTTGATTTTTGCATTTGATTGTTTGTTCTTTAAGTAATTTATCTTTTTTTGATGTAAAACTAATTGTAGAACGATTTTAAACTGTAGTTGCTCAAAATTGATCGTAAATCACCCAAAACTCAGTTTGAAAAAGTTTGCAATGGCATTTAAAATCTATTTAACCACAGCTCAGTGACATAATATACTTTGAATATCACACATTCCTTTGGATTAAGCAGGTAAAACACAAAACCAGTGTTGAAAATAACATTTTATTGATAATAAAAACAAGCAAGCCAAAGTTTCGGTGCCATTAATTATTACTACATTCAAGTATAAAATCAACCTCTTATATCAGAATACATGCATTTCCCTTCATATCCTTGATTGCAGTCGCAACATGAAACAAACCTTGAGCTAACCATCCCATAAATCTGGAAATAAATTAACAAGAACAACGTGCTGCGATTCATGAATTGACACAAAAAGAAAACGAGTACAGCATCTCGGACATCGCTCCGTTTCCACGGTGACGTTTTAAGGCCTGAATTCAGCACCGTTTGGCATCAGATCGGTTCAAGATAACAGTAAACTGAGGAAAAACGCACAACAAGACGGGAAACCAACAAGACGGAGAAGCTGAGAGAATAAAAGAGGTTGTTTTGAAGCCTGAAAGACTGTAACAGGATGAAAGTGTTCATGTGTGGCAGTGCTACTTTAGTTTTGTTGTTTGAGGATGTCAGAGCAGAGAAGTGAATAAGGGCACTTTAAATTTAAACTGACACAAATCTGTTCTGTCAGATATGTTTGTGAGATTTTGATTTAGTTGCTCAGATTTGATCCTGATTATCATTCTGCCTTGTTTTTATTGGAAATTCTATAATAAAGCAAAAAAACACAAAACAAAACAATACTAAAGACTTAAAGGGGCACTAAGATGAATTAGAGAGTTAGTACAGATTTATCTCAGCTTGGAAAGTAAAGGTTCTGTGTTAAATTTTTAGTGAACAGAATCACATCATGTGTTTCCTTTAACATGTTCTACATCAAGGTTTAGTAGCTTGCAGGCTTCTTGTTGTTTTTCTTAGCGACAGCATCCTCACACATAAAGCAAATGGTGCAAACTAAATGAAAGCGCTGCTCCTTAGTTCCTCATGTGGTCAAAACCTCCACATGTCGACTTTAACTGGAGGGAAACTGACGGCTCGCAGGCAGAAAGACTGAACTCTCTGAACTCCAAGGAGCAGTTTCTGGCTGTTTTGTTTTTTCTTTGTTTTTTAATCCTGGCACATTTTTCCTCACCGTGGTTCATTTTTTAAGTCCTGCAGCTCTATGGAAACAGAAAAACCACGAAGAAGGAGAGAGAACTCAGAAATGTCTTCTGNTATTTGCCTGAACACATGTCAGTTAGCCGGGTACAATCAACGTGGAGAAATTATCATTTGCCCGCTACATACCCTCGAAAACAAGGCATCGGCCCAATTTGCAGTGTAATTTTTTCAGGCAGCAGCGTAACGGGCCGTTTCTCTGTTATAAGGCTGGTTACAACCCTGCTTAAATCTCATTAATTCCATCACACTGACGTTACCGTACCTGTGTCTTTTTCCCGTTTTTCTTCCTCTTCTTTCCTTCCCTGAGCGCCACTCTATTTTACTCACTTCATAATGTATAAACCAATCTGAAATCTGCAGCCAAATACTGCCTGTGCGTTCCGGCCACTTCCCCTCCTCTGTTTGTGGCGCCCCCAGTGGATGTCGGCGGCCTTAGCATTTGCCTATCCTGCCGATGCCAAGGGCCGGCTCTGTTTGTGTCTCTCACCTTGCTCACACCGTCCTCGCAGCTCTGGATGCGGGACTGGAACCCGGCTGCTGCAACGCCGGAGGTAGCGTGGGTCGGAGGTGGAGGAGACGCTGACCGTTGCTGGAGCTCGGTGCCGGGCTGAACCTCCTGCTGTGACCCGCTCATTTCTTTCTGAGCTGGTCGTTGTTGCTCCTCTGGTGAGGGAGCGGTGACACCCGCCGGAGGGTCACCTGTGGGAGCGTCCCTCCAGCGGGTCCTCACCTCCCGGAGGTCCAGCTGCCTCAGCATGGCCAGCAGCAGCGTGTGCAAGGCGGCGAAGTTGACATTTGCCTCCTGAGGATACCCGATGGATAAGTTAAGGAGGTCGAGTAGGCTGATGTTCTCCGACATGTTGGATCAAAATCTCTTTGGTGTCTGTTTGTTAGTTAACCGACAGGTCAACGGCAGCGCTAATCTCGGAGGTTGACAGTAGAATGAAACGTTGAAGAGAAAATAGTGACCCCACCGCTGTAAAGCTACACATATTTAACGGAAATATAGTGGATCGCCCTTCACAGTAAAGTTTCATCACGGAACAAAAGTAAGATTCCGAGCAGCAGCATCTGTTTAAATGAATTAAAACACACAAAATGGTCAATTCTTCACGTGATTATGCGAATTAGTTCCATGCATTGAAGCATACTGTGAAAAATTTGCCTTTACTCTTCACCAGGAATGCTTTTATTTTTAGACTATAACCGGATGATAGGTAGTAACAGTCCCTCCAGCTTGACGTTGCGTCCCGCTGTGGCTTCACACGTTGGTCAACTGAAAGCGTTACTAGTTGCTACGCAACAAGAATCCGGTTGCATTTACAGGATTTTCTACAAACAAAAATAGCTTGGATTTATATATATATTTTTTATTCATAGAGGCAGATGTATGCAGAAATATATCTAGTTCTGGTTTGTTTATTTGATGAATTTGAATTCATCTTCTGCTTTTCTCTCTTTTAAAAAACATTTCTTTCTTTCTTTTTCTTTTTTTTTTTAAACTGTTTTTTTTAAACTTTTTTCCTATTTTGTTTTATTTTTACACGTTTTTAAAAAAAATTTTTATCACACTTTAAAAAAAAAAAAAGAAATTACACTCAGAATGTCAATCCACAGACATTTTACATTTTTCTGCAAAATCTTAGCTTTGAAATAACTGCTTCAAAAGCTATTTGGCATTTTTCTTTCAAATAATGACAAATATCTGTAAAATCTTTTCTCAGATTTGTGGGAGGAAGCCGGAGAACCCAGAAAGAACCCACGCTGCACGGGGAGAACATGCAAACTCCACGCAGAAAGATCCCGGTGCCCCCACTGGGACGCGAACTGGCGACCTTCGTCCTGTGAGGCAACAGTGATAACCAACTGCGCCACCTTGCAGCCCATGTATTATTTCACTAAACTATATTTTAACACATTTTGTTTTATTGATTATTACCTTTTTTCAGTTTCTAGTTATTTGAATGTGACTATTGTGAATTTTGTCTTTTCTTTATTAGAAGGGTGTGAACACATTTGAGGACAACTGTATTATAGGTCAAATTATCTGGATTACAAAAAAAAAGGTAAA